TTTCCAGCTGGAAAATCTCAATATTCAAACACTATTTGAAGTTTCCTCTTTATAGTGACATCAACAAATCCTCATTAAAATTACATAAAGTTAGAATTCAGACAAAATATTATTGTATTATAGTATAGTATTATTGTAATATTGTAACCAACAAGACTAATTAAGTCAGATATCTGGATCCACTTATGACATCAGAATGATCCAGGTGTCAAAATGTAGCTTTTAAAGCAGGAATCTGAAAATGGGATGAGGTCATTTTGATCAAATTTGACTCATTTTACTATGATGGGTCACAAATAAGGAATAAATCAAGACTTTGTTTTGTTTTGGAAGGTGTTCCAGGTGAGGAAGGTCCAAGGAGCCCAGGCAGGGAAAATATTYGCCATGAAGGTTCTGAAAAAGGTATTTTGCTCCGTCTGTCAGCTGATTGGCTCCCAGTCATTCTTCTTATTTCTCCTCCTTCAGTCTTACTCACYATTTATTCCCCATCACGGTTTTCTWCCTCTTTAAACCCTGATGGTTGTGTATTTGTCTCCTCCAGGCTAAAATCGTGTGTAACGCTAAAGACACAGCTCACACCCGAGCAGAGCGGGAGATCCTGGAGAAAGTGAGGCACCCGTTCATCGTGGACCTGCTGTATGCCTTCCAGACCGGCGGGAAGCTCTACCTCATCCTGGAGTGTCTGAGCGGTGAGACGGGGCTACAGATGGACGACATGAAGCAGCTTCAGCTGTGTGTGTTCAGAGGGAGAACCAGAGAGAACTGGGTTTCCTGTGACGCTGCATGAGCTGTGTCAGACAATGAAACCTCTTATTTASTTCAAATATGAAAAAACAAGAGACTAAATGAGCAGCACAGACAAACAGAAAACAAAAAGACAAATAATATTTATATTTAACCCTTTATTTAACCAGGTAGAGCTCATTGATTAAAAATCTGTTTTGCAACAAAACCCTGTCCAAGAATGGCAGCAGCACAAAGACATGATCAAATCCTGTTAACATATAATTAAATACATCGTGATAAATAAAAAAAACAAGAAAAAACAAAGTCATTAAAGGTAAGATAGGACTAAAATAGAGTACAAAAAAATTAAAACATTTAGAAAAAAGTGCCTCAATCACAAAGGGGACCACAAAAAAATGACATTTAAAAAGACTAAAAGGATGCAGAGGTTGACAAAAACTAAAATAAAAAAGACTTAAAAAAGACAAAACAAAAGAGATGCAAAAAGGGACAAAAAAGGCACAGAGACACACAAAAACTTAACAAAAAGGCTTTTAGGTACTAAAAGGATATGTTCACAAAAATCAAGCATAGTGAGACAAAAATACAAAAGAAAGAGATATAAAAAGGCAAAAGTGATGCATAAACAGACAAAAAAAGCACAAAATACCCCCCACACACACACACACAAAAAAAAAGCATAAAGTGACAATAAAAGGCACAGAAACATAAAGACTAAACAAAAAGGTACCGGTAGGTTGACAGAAATGAGGCCCAAGAAGACACAAAGCAAAAAGACAAAGTTATTGAAGGATTTATTGAGTTCTGAATGTTTTCCAACCTGAAAAAAAAAACAAGTTTAAAATAAAAAGTTGTTAAAATCTAAAGTGAAACAAGCTGAAGGTCTTGCTGCTGATCTGAAGCATCTGAAGCAGGAAACAGAGCCAGCCTGACTGTGACTCTGCTCCTCAGGAGGAGAACTCTTCATGCAGCTGGAGAAGGAGGGGATCTTCATGGAGGACACGGCCTGGTACGGACCCCCCCCCGGTCCCAGCCTGGCGCTGAAACAAACACTCTGAACGAGTTCTTGAGTTGGAGCAGCTTCAGATAAAGGTCCGTTGTTCATTCATGGCCCTTAAACTGTGTACGTGTTTAGTTTCTACCTGGGAGAGATCATTCTGGCCCTGGGTCACCTCCACTCCAGCGGGATCATCTACCGGGACCTGAAACCTGAGAACATCATGCTCTGCCACCAAGGTAACGCTCGGCACGCCCAACGGGAAACAGCCTGGCTCCAGGTGGCGTGGTTACAGATAAATGTTGTGTTCAAGGTCACATCAAGCTGACGGACTTCGGCCTCAGCAAGGAGTCCATTCATGATGGGAGCGTGACACACACGTTCTGTGGCACCATCGAGTACATGTGAGTGATACCAACACTTTGTTTCTGTGAGTTTGGGTTGCTTCCAGCTGAAAGTTTTAATATGAGCTGCTAACTCATCAAGCTCCTCCTCCTCCTCCTGCAGGGCTCCAGAGATCCTGACCAGGTCGGGTCACAACAAAGCCGTGGACTGGTGGAGCCTCGGGGCCCTGATGTACGACATGATGACCGGCTCGGTGAGACCAGACAAGTTTTACCTCCAGATGAGTTCAAATGTGGCTCCAGCTCATGTCCTCGTTACTGTGTCAGAATAAAACTCTTTTCTTGTGTGTCTGGTCAGCCTCCGTTCACGGCTGAAAACAGGAAGAAGACCATCGATAAGATCCTGAAATGTAAACTCAACCTTCCTCCATATCTGACTGTYGATGCCAGAGACCTCATCAAACAAGTAAAGCTCATTTTAGAGATGCACGATATACCATATACTGTGAGATATCACAGTATGTATAAATATCTTCTTTTTTAGTTTCAGCTGAAATAAAAATCAGGTTTGATTTGTTCTCTGGGTTTAACCACCCAGAGAACAATCAAACAGGTAAAATTGGTTTTAGAGATGCACGATATACCATATACTGTGAGATATCATGATATATTGATATATTGTGATACATCACGATACATCAATAAATCACAATATATCAATATGTGTATAAATATCTTCTTTTKTAGATTCAGCTGAAATAAAAATCAGGTTTTATTGTTCTCTGGCTTTAACTACCCAGAGACCTCATCAAACAGATAAAAATGATTTTAGAGYTGAACGATATACTGTAAGATATCATGATATATTGATATATCACGATATATCACAAAATGTATAAATATCTTCTTTTATAGTTTTTCTAAGCAGCACCTGATTTTTAGCCCTTCTTTTTGATTTAGAAACAAACTAAAACTTCTAAAGCACATTTTAAAAGTTTTTTTCTGGATRAATAAATCACCAGTTTGGAAACCAGCTGTGAGACCACAGATTGGTTCCAGATTTGTCTCAGTTTTTATTCTCATGCAGGATTATCTCGTGTTTCAGCTGAAATGAAAATCAGTTTATATTTTTGCTCTCTGGCTTTAAGTGGCTGCTGGTGTTCGGATCAATCAGTGGTTTGTTGTGAGGATCAGAACGAGCTCGTTCTCATGTTCTGTGTTTCCACAAACCAACACTGGAACCCAGAAGAACTCTGGTGTTGGTTCTGTTGGTGTGGTTTCACTTCTCATCAGGGTTGTTACAGTTAATGAAGGTTATTTATTACAACCTGCTTTCTTCTCTGAATAAAAAAATGTTTTATTTACATTTATTGCATCATTTATCCACTAAGTTCATAGTAAAACTGAATCACTTGAAGTTTGGTGAACTTTATAAAAACAAATGTTTAAATATAAATATTTATTTAGATGTAGCTGCTGGATAAAAATGATATATAAATAATTATGTGCTTCTTATTTATTTTTACACTTATTTTCTAGATTATATGATGTAGCTTCTTTTTTCTACCTAAAGCATTTTGTTATAAAATTGTGATAATTAATTATGAAAAATAATCAAATATTGAGCTGCAGCTTTAAGG